TTAGTAAATGTTTTATCATCTTAGCTCTTCAGTAATCACTGCAATGAAACAAAATAGTTATTACATGTAGGTACTCGTACGTAAGTATTATTTAACTAATGAGTTAGGGACATTCGCAAACAGTTACTGAAAAGAGCTGATATAAGAAATATGAATTATTTTCGTATTGTCTTATTGTTTACTTACTGGCTGCATTATTTTTTGAAATGTTTCTGTTCCATGAACATTACATGCATATACTTACGTCATCACAACAGATAAGTCATAACTTATAATTTTTATAGTTGGATAACCTTTAAATAGATAAATATTATACAATAGGTATCACAGAGTCAGAATGAATCTCGTGTTTCAAGAGAACATAGTATAGTTGATTAACGTGAAAATTGAGGTCCATCTAGTCTTGACCCTGGTGGTAAGAGACCTTACCACCTTACCACCAGGGCCATATAGATGTCCCGTGGCAGTTTGGCTGGGTCTGCTATCGGGCGCGTCCCCCCGGGTGGCGGATGGGGGGGACCGGCTTCGGCCGGCGTGGACCATACCCAGCTGTGGAGACCTGGCTGGCGTCCTGGGTATCCCGGGTAGCGGCAGTCGGGTCAAACTCGTAACCCTGCACATACTGCGGGGCCGAGGGCCGCCGTCTACAAAGGAACTGTTTTCTTTGGAGGCGGGGGCTGCGAGGAAGACAACCTCTCTAAAAACTTACCCGGTGGTGGTCTCGGCTGGCGCCCTGGGTATCCCGGGTAGCGGCAGTCGAGTCAAGCTCGTAACCCTGCACATAGTGCGGGGCCGAGGGCCGCCGTCTGCAAAGGAACTGTTTCCTTTGGAGCCGGGGACTGCGAGGAAGACAACCTCTCTAAAAAATCACCCGAGGGGTCTCTCGGCCAGCACCCTGGGTAGCCCGGGTAGTGGCCACTGCGACCGGAGCGTGGGAAGACGAAAATAAGGGTGCCGAACACCGCGGCTGTGACCCTGAGGCTAACTTCGGCCGCGAAGGAGGGAGGGGTCACCTATGCCAAGGTGTTGGAGATGGCCAGGGGGAAGATGAGGCTCCAGGATGTAGGCATTGAGGGAGGGCTCAAGATCCGAGAAAGCCGGATGGGGACCAAACTCCTGGTGGTTCCAGGTCCGGACAGCCCCACCAAAGCGGATGCCCTCGCGAAACGCATCAGCGAGGTGATGGCAGAGTTCGTGGAGGTTTTTTTTTTTTTTCATGTGTAATGTTAAATATATGGTTCTCTGTATATTTATAAGGGAACAAATATATATATTTATATATTGAAGTTAACGTTTAAATTGTGATCATGGTCAGTTTTGATTCTGCAATTGGATACAGATCCAAAACCGCCGCTATATATTTATGCTTTTAGTCGATGTGGCAGTTAGGTACCATTGATGCGCTTAAGTTGTGAAACTATTGAGTCGACATGTTTGATGAATTTGCAAGTGGCTGTTTCGCTCTTTATTGTTTCCAGTAAGTTGTATGGTTCAATTTTGTATAATCTGCAGTAATTTTCATATTCAGCTCTGGTGCAGTGGAATATAGGGCAATCTTTTAAGATGTGTGTGATGTCCTGTTTAGTGTACAGCTGTTCGAAATTCGGCGATGGTTTGGAAGAACGACTTTGTGACTGCTCCTTGCGGAGCCGTTTCATAGTCTTCCTGCCACGCGCTCAGGGTCCTTTCCTTCAGATAGCGCTTAGTGTGGGATAGCGGGAATACGTTCAGAAGTGCCGCTGTTTTCTTGGCAGCCGCCTCTTTGGCTGCAGCGTCTGCTAATTCATTTCCCACTATCCCCACATGGGCTTTGGTCCAAATAAATCTTATATTTGTTTCTTTTTCTTGCAGTCTGTAAAGGCTATGGTGTATACTATTTACCAGAGGATCGGTGTTGCTTCGGTCTTGGATAGCTTTTAAAGCGGACAGTGAGTCCGTAAACACCGAAACCTCGGCATGGTTTCCCACAAGTGCCCACTTTAATGCGCGATCAATTGCAAACAGTTCAGTGAAAAATACACTGGCTGTTCTGCAGAGCTTAAATTTTCGGACGATGTGGGTGTGATTTGGTAGCATTATAATATAAGAGGCGCCAGTCTCTCCGGTGTCTTGTTTGCTCCCGTCGGTGAAAATACTGGGTGCATCTGGGTGTAACAGTTGGTCAGTTTCTTCTTGTGTGGAGACTTCCTCGAAGTTTATGGTGATTCTTTTCGCTGGGTGCAAAAGGTCTTTCACCTTGACTCTTCTATGCATCCTGATGTCATCCGGTAAATCCGGGGATAATCCTGTTTTCTTTGCATTGTGGATTGCATGGGCTTCCTCAACTACGAGATGGAGAGGCGGAAATTGAGCCAGAGCCTCCGCCGCTACCGCCGATATCGTGTGAAATCCTCTAATCGCCCTGATGGCGAATCCTCTCTGAAAAGATCTGAGAGCCCGGCGCACAGAATGGAACTTGGTGGCCGTACCCCAAATTCCTGCAGCATAAGTAATCATAGGAACTATGACCTGCCGGTATATACACTCGACGTTTTCGGAGTGTATGCCCCATGTAGGTCTGACAAATTTACATAAAATATTAAAGATTTTAGTGGCCTTCTTTATTACGTAGTTAGCATGTTGAATGAAATTCAATCGGTCGTCTATGATTACTCCCAAAAGCTTGATTTGGCTGGCCAGGGATATATCAGAATTACCCATCTTAATTTTGCTTTGCCTGGCTTTAGCAGTGAAGGCGATTGCCTGTGTTTTTTCAGGTCCAAATTGTAATTTAACTGTTTCTCCCCAGCGGCCGATAGCGTTGAGGCATTCCGAGGCTATGGTTTCCACCTCCGCCATAGACCCACCCCCCACTATGAGTAACACATCGTCAGCGAAGGCCTGGATGTCCCCGGGAGGAAGAGGTGTAGAAAGGAGCTCGTCCAGTATAAGATTCCAGAAGATAGGGCCGCACGCGGAACCCTGCACGCAGCCCTTGGTCATTGGCTTGGAAGCTGTACTATTGACATAAGAGAGGGATACCTGTCTATCTGTAAAATAGCCCTGCACAAGTTTATATATATTCTTGGGACAATTAATGTGTTTCAGGCGCTCAAACAGGGCAGGCCACCACGCATTATCGAAAGCCGCTTCGATATCGAGGGATATTGCGGCTACCTCTTTCTTTCCGAATTTTGCGGTTTTGATGGTGTTGAGAGCATTTTCTAGCGCATCGACTCTGGATACCTGCTCTCTGAATCCATATTGATTCTTGTTCAGCGATTACTCTCGTTCGCATAGGTATGTAATCCTTTTTATCATTAACTTTTCCAAAGTTTTTCCGAATACAGGGATAAATCCTATGGGTCTAAATGAATTCAGTGAGTCAGGGTTCGTTTTGTTGGGTTTGGGGATAATCTTTACAATGGCCTGCTTCCACTCTTTAGGGAAGTACCCCGTTGTGAGGCATCTATTATACAGAGCCGTGATGAAGTCTGGCAGCGTTTCGAAGACCTCGCGGCAAATATCGGCTGTGAAATGATCGGCTCCGGGGGCCTTTTTGGCGTTGATTTGAGAGAGACATTCCCGCACCTCGTCCGTCGTGAATGGCAAGTCGTCTGTCGTGTCAGGTGCCTCCGACATCGAATAACGTAGCCGACGGTGGTGGTCAAGATTGTCGGGTGTATCATCTGGGTAGAAGTGCTGTAATAGTGCCGATGCAGTATTCGTTCCGCTATCGGTGTATGCGCTGCCGCACTTCAGGGTCCGTGGTGGTTTTCTTTGGGGTGCATCCTTAATGATGCGATTCGTGACTGCCCAGACATTCTCCTTACCTTGCGCAATGCAGAACTGCCGGAAATGTTAGGTGGACGCTTTAGACAGCGTCTTCGCATAGGTCTGTTTTGCATCCTGATAGGTCTTGACAGCCTCCGTAAGAGGTTTCTTAGCCCTTTTAAGGTCATGTAACTTGTGGTGGAGCCTGATACAATTCTTCTTTTGCTGTTCCAGCTCGTCAGACCACCATGGGTTAAATACCTTCTGACCCGACTTATGTGAGAGAGTATTGTCGCAAACCTCCTGTATGATTGCCGTAAATTTATTAACAATTCTGTCCAAATCACTATTAGAAGTGATATTGAAGTCCGTTTGGGCTAGCTCGCTCGTTTTATTGTTGACCTCCTCCTTGAATGCTTGCCAATTTGCTCTGGATGTAGAGTATTTATAGGTGGAGTTACTCTTGATTCTTTCTGGTCCATGAGGCGTTTTAAGTGTATAGTCAATTGCATTATGATCTGAGGTTGGGCAAGCTTCGCGGTTCACTTGCCAGTTGATGACGGAGTCTGCTAGATTTTGTGTGACATAAGTGACGTCAACAATTGACGAATACACAGCGTTATTACAAACTCTCTCAAAAGTCGGTTCTTTACCCATGTTGCATACCGCTAAATTGTGTGAAGCCATAAGAGCCACCAAGTCGCCCCCGCGGCTGTTCATTGTGTCCTCTCCCCATTCTTGATGGCTGCCGTTGACGTCGCCACCAATCAATCGTAAGGATGCGCCAGTGGAGTTTAGAAAAGCGCTCAGCCGATTTACAGTGCCGTTGTCGTCTGACCTGGGCTCAATATAAACCGATACAATATCGAGGCTTTTATGTCCTAGACTGAGGCGGATGACGGCAAGATGAGAGCGGCAATAGCCGGTGTGGTGAGTATACACGCTTCAACGCGTGATCCGTTGGAGAACTGATAGATATTTAGTCCGACTGGAGGTTTCATCTCTAAGGACGCACCTACATACGGTTCGGAGATAAGTGCGATATCGTATTCCTTCTTAACAAAATAGCCGAAAAACTCCTGCTTTGTTAAATAGCATCTCTGTAGGTTACACTGGATAACTTTAAGTTTCGTGGAGGTTGGCAGGCCGGAGGGGGTGGCCGACCTGCGGATTGCCGGGCTCGACAATCCGCAATAAAAAAAAAATGGCCATATAGATGTATGTCTTAATCAGTCGTTTAGACCACCGCAAGGTAGGGTGGATGTCCCGGTCTCAAACCAATTAAAGGAAATTATTAACTTTAAAATGTTGCTATATAGCCTAACTGCCTATTTATTGCTAGTTTATTTTTTATATTGTAAGTTACCTAGTTATTAGTTGTATGTGGGAAGGAAAATATTTGATTTCTTTTTGTTTATTTTATTATTCAAGATAATCGGTATAAAACTGGGATGTACCCTAATTTGACCAGCCGGCCCCGGTTGTTATCAAGATTTGTACCAGAGGTTGACCATTTATAAAAAAGTGAAATAATAACTACATTCACAATTAAAAGCAGACGTATTTTATAATCAACTTTATGGTTTGTTCTTAGGACTAATTGAGATCAATAAGTAAATTAAATTAAGGTCAGTCTCAACAATCACAATAGTAATTCTTAAATCTAAATGGCACATTTTCAAATCACCATAAAATAACGAATCATAACTTCACTTAAACTTTAAACTTTTTAAACAATCTAAAGTTTTGGTTAAGTAATTCTTTGTTAATATCACTTAAATATTTTTTTTAACAATTTTTTAATTGTTAAAAAAAATATTTAAGTTTCATAATTAAATTCACGTAATGATTCAAAATTAAAATCTGCAAAATTAAAAAAGGAATCAGATCCAAAAAGATACTTGGCCATTTCTGGTACTTTATATGAACTTCTATTATTAATTGACACAGGAGCATTAATTTTCTCCACTATGCTGTCGTTAGCATACCAAATTTTATCTTCTTTATCTGGCCATTTAAAAGTATTAGAAGTTGATATCACCATCGTACTAACTTCTTTACTCTTTTGGTCAATATTTTTGACAATCCCGGGAAAATACTCCCCTCGTTGTTTACTATAACATATGATCCTATTTCCTCGTCTGATCTATCTTTATTACTGTAATTAAATTGATCAAAGGTAAATTATCCTCATCGGAATCAGAATCAATTCTATTCTGAACTCTCTTTTTTACTCTCTCTTTCTCAACCTTTTTCAACTCTTGTAACTTCTTTTTTTCTTCTCTTGCTAATTTCCTATTTTCTTTTCTTCTTGTTCCTTATAAAAAGTAATTCCTTACAAAAAATCCAGTATTGCATCCACTCTACTGATGTAACTGCATCTGGCAATCGCTTTCTATTGAACCTTTTACTACCACCTTTTTTTAGTGGTGATTCTGCAAGCATTGTGCATTCTTTTTCAGAATTAAAGTCTCGTTTATTATGTATATTTGCTGTTGATTGAGGATCTGACAAGTTGCAAGCATTATTATTAATTCTAAATTCTTTTTTGGTGGCATATTGTAGCTAAAACAAGAAATCAAAACTCATATTAAGAGTTTGGTCAATTATAGGATTTGTATGCAGTACCAATGTCAAACCACTGGTCAACTAATGGAAACGTAAGCAATTTACTCCGTTAAAATTGATAGTCGAGTTACAACTCATATTCTGGACATGAAACTGTTAAAAAAAGTAAAAAAAAGAGTACCACTTCAGTGTACAAATCGTTGACCAATTGGTCAATCACAGGAGCACCTAATCAAATCATGTACCTTTTGTTAATCAGTAAAATAACTCATAAAATATATCGTTTGCATTTGAAATTAATTTAAAATCTTTATAATAAATCTAAAGAAAAGTTTACTAGAAAAAAAGATCACGCGGACCAGGCAGCGGACGGGACTCGAACCCGCATCCTTCGCTATCCGGGCGAATGCACTGACAATTATGCTACCACGGCCCTATTAGCCACGTCGAAATTTTCCTAGCCTTAAGCTGCAAGGCAGCGCCATCTCTTCGCATTGTAGGTAACCCACAATTTTTATTCTAGTAAACTTTTCTTTAGATTTAAACAGCTAGCAGTTAAATGCTTAAAAAATAAATAAAATCATAATCTTTATAATAAACATAAAATGATTACAAAAAACAATCATCCGAACAAGTTCATTAAAAAACAATACTTAATAAATTAAAAGTGTTCTTACCTTTCTAAACATTATCCTTACTATTCTAAACTATAATGGCGGCTGAATGGCAACTGTCAGCGACAAGTCAAAACAAAATTAAATTGTAGCTTTCACTGGTTGTCTCTTTCTAGTCGTAATGTGATTGGTTGATTTGTATTTTTATTTTATACTGCTACCCCCGTTTCGTGACAGGTCTTTATCTTCTCTTTATTTATATATATTTCTTAATTATTTTATATGTTCTTTCTTATTCTAAGTTATGCTTTAATGATAACATTTCTGTTTTACTCATTTCTTAAATTCTTGTATCTATTTTACATACATTTCTTGTTTGTTTATATCCTATGACTTTTACATTTTTGCTTCCTTATATACTTATTTCTAATTTTTATTATACTTATTTTATACTACATTGATTTGTATTAGTACCAACAAGATGTAGCCAATATGAAATGAAACGCTTAATCGCGGGAAAACTTAATATTAACACTCAAAGCCGCAAGTGGTCCACAACCGGTGCGTGGTCAACTATAGGGTCAACCATCCTACTTAATAATCTCCGCTATATTAACTCCCTTAATGAAGTGACAAGACTGCGGTATATAACATTTTATAATCCTCACTAAAAAGTGTGGATAAAAAAGGTAAATTTAAAAAATCAAAAAACCCGTCTGCTTAAATATTACTTAAAATAAAAACTGAAAAGAAAAAAACAAGTCTTGTAGTCTATAATTCTGTTAAGTAAGGAACAAAGCTACTATAATAGTCAATACCCGTTATTGAAAAAAATCGATCCATTCTTGAATATCTGATGGGTCCCGACTGTTAAAGTAGCTTTATTCCCTACTTACCAGTATTATAGACTACTGGACTATTTTCTTTCTTTTCATTTTTTATTGAAATTATATTTAAGCACTCGGATTTTTTTTATTTACCTTTAAATACAAACACTTTTCCTCGCTACGCGTCCTCGCACGTCTCTGGGGGAAACGTAGCCCAATTCCGCAAGAGAGGTAGGGTAGAAGGTAGTAATTGGAACGCACCTAGAAATGTGCGAGGACGCATAGCGAGGATTGTAAAAAACCAATAGAACTCCTAACGGGGCGGTTTATAATCTATAGCTTATGCTACTTAATCTTTGCTAACCGCACTGTTAAAAAAACACGCAGGGGAAGATGATACTTAATCTGTGCCACCCCCTTGAACAACGGGGTCGGGGCTACCAGGGTCGGTGGAACATGTTTTCCCAACCGTCCCGTTAACGGGGCGGGACGACCGGGGTGGATGGTACCGACTCGTTTTCTGCGTTCCCGCAGCCGTACATCCAACGCGCCTCCGTCTCCTCCCCACACAGGCCACAAACACCAACACTACACAGCTAGCATAGTTACACACTAGCTCAGCATTAGGGAGGCTCCGCACCCGTAGGATAAGAGTGCGAAGACCCGTTCTACACACGACACGCTATACCAGGTACAGGTACGTACCTGGGCGTTTTTCCCCGCCCCCCACGACAACGGCTAACTAGAGCCGAGGTCCGAGTCTCAGAGACGCTCTCTAGTTGAGCCGACCCCTCAGGTTCGAGTGGTCTTGAGGTTCCAGACGGAGGAGACCCCCCCCCCCGTGGGGAGATACCATCCGCCTGGAATACCTCTAGAGGCACTCGCCAATTATCGGCTTTAGGTCCCATAAAGATCTCGCCGTCCCCAAATCCGGTGACGCTGTAAGCCACCTGCGACCAACCAGCATACACAGTTAAAAAAAATGGGTGCGTGTACTTATGTAGGCGCGTGAGAAGTTATCCTTCTTTGGCATCGTTTAAAATTAGTTTTTAATTGCATGCAAATAATTAATTACAATAAATTAATAAAAAGTCTGGAAAAGGACGAAGTCAATAAAGTTCAGTTTTAATTTGAAAAAATAAATAAACAATCAAAATATTCAATTAAAATCGCTACTGAATATAATTTATTAGAACATATGTGATTTGCACTTGTATGAAACTCAAACACGTATTCCGAATATACAAACTAGAAACATGTGGATAAATATTATAAATATGAATACCTATAACTGTTACTTTATTACAAAAAATAAAGATGTGGTTTTTGGTTCTACTACACCAATGGTCAAGAGATGGCGCTGTAGTCTCCTGAATCGCGCTTTGGTTCCGTTGTTCCAGATTAATAAATACTTTTTGTTACTTTATTACAAAAAATAAAGATGTGGTTTTTGGTTCTACTACACCAATGGTCAAGAGATGGCGCTGTAGTCTCCTGAATCGCGCTTTGGTTCCGTTGTTCCAGATTAATAAATACTTATGATAGGCCTTCACAATGCAGTCGTTAGCACCCACTAAATAGAGATTCTATTTCTATTTTGTTGGTAGATTTTCTTAATGTGCGGTAAACACAAAAGTAACACATGAACTTCATTATGTTAAAATTTTGTGTTACAGTGATGCGCGCGCATCTTAAAATTTCACTCTCCATCATTTTTTCATAACGCGCCTAAAGAAGTATAACTTCAATAAGAGATTAGACAAATCCCGCCGTGTACGGGTGATCACGTCCTAAGCGCGCCCGCAGCGTTCGCGTTTACTTAAATTAACTATTTAGATTATGTAATGGATGGTGACTTCAGAAGTATCTCTGGAGTCATTTTTCAACTTGACGACTCTGTATATTGTGACTGTAAATACAGGGAGAAAAAAACAGCCCTTGCTGAGTGTCTTGCCGGTTCTTCTCAGTACAAAGTCTCCCGCCGTAGTTTTGCGAACCGATGGCGTAGCTTCTTGACCTTCACAAGTGCTTGTAACAGCCTAGACTAAATATATGATTTTGATTTTTTCACAATCTACCTGAGTTGCGGTCCCCGCAGCCTCGGCGGGCACGAAAAAAAAACAGATATAATAGAAAAGGGAAAATATTTTTGGAAGATGCGATTTTGTGAAATTAATAACTATTATTAGGTACATTTTGAGGGAGCTGTTAATAAAGAAAAATGTTTTCTTACAAAATTTATTTTGAAATAAAAATAACATCAAGCTTTTAAAATTGACAATGTTCACGAAAATTATATAATAATTTATGAGCATAATTTTACATTAGGAAGAATAATTTCATAGTGTACTATTTCGACAAGACCGTAACAATAAACATGGATTGAATCTCATGATCTAACACAACACTTGGCCAATCTTATCTCCATACAAAAACTGAAGTATAATTTCAATAATAATAAAATTGAAGAGCACCAAAAGATTGTCAGATAGAAAAATAATTCAATTGTTTAATACACATTAAAATAAATTTCATGTAAGCAATAAAAATACAGCAACCGTATAAAAAATAAAATAAGAATATTTTCAAAGTGTTAATCTGCACTGGAATCAATGAAATCGTTTATTTTAAAATTAAAAATAAACAAAATGCAAAGTAAAAATGGAATTTTCTCATCATTTAATGTGTATATAACACAGTTCTCCATAATCCTTATTCAATATATTCATATAAACAACATATTAACCTAGACTTTTATTTTTTACACTTTAGGAGATATTTTACAACCCTGTATCCACTATACTTTAAATGACAATAGTATGTTACGCAGTCTAAACGGGTTTATGTCTCGATAGATTCGTCGTCACAATCGACTATTACAATAATTTAAACTATGATAAACACTGTCGACAATTGAGTCATATTCATACACATGTACACACAGATACACTCATTCTGTTAACTTCATTGCACTTGGGGTAAACTTAATGTTCAAACTGCTGCTGTTACTTTAGAGTTAGTTGTTTGTGCTTAGACATGGGAGGAAGAGAGAGGGATGAAACAATAGTTTAGTGGAAAGACTGAATAGTTACGAGAAACAACCTAAGAATATAGTTTTGTGGTTGGCTCACTTTGTCTTGGCTGCTGCCCGCTGTCGCAACGTTTTGTTTGTGTTCTGGTCCACCTCGGGCAAGTCGGATTCCTCCACTGGGGCTTTCTTCACTGTTACAACAAAGAATCACATGTAAATACTAGGCTGTATGTAAAATTACATCTTCTTTGTATTTGGATATACACTCGACTGCAAATAAATTAAGCCACTTGCTACCATGGAACTCTGATTTGATTTTCTCAAAAAGTATAAAACTTACAACTATCAAAATTATAACTACAGAAAGTGCGTTTCGTGGTGATTAAAATGAACTAGAATTTATTGAGATTAATCAATTAATTAACTTTTTATTTTAAATTAGCAGAATTGTGGGTATATCCCCGTTGAGCCATTAAAAAAGAAAGAAGAAGAATTTTTATTTAAAAAAAGCCAAGGAAGAATCGTTTTCCAATTGTGGTATTCGGAAGTAACAAACGAAGCAAAAATACTCATGTCTGAGAAAACTATGGAGAAAAACTAAGGAAGTGATAAGAAGTATCAGACAATCTTAATTTTATAAAAAGATCGATAATCGCGACTTTATTAAAAAATTAGCAAATAGTTAGCATTGTTGTTCTTGCTTGATTACAAAGTAAGTTGATGTTACTTTAGAATAAATTTTTACTCATATTAATAATTATGAAACACACTTTCTGTAGATATAGCTTTAATAGTTGTAAGTTTTATACTTTTTGAAAAAATCGAATTAAAGTTTCAATGTACTAGCGGTTGGCCCAGTTTATTTGTAGTCAAGTGTATGATACCGGTAGCGGATCTAGGCGTCTACTTGTCTCTAACTTATTTTTTTTTGTGTTCCCCTTAAGATAAGGGTTAATGTGTCATTCATAAGCATTACTTATAGCTTTCTCAACTATGAAATGAATGGGATGGTGGAAAGCGAGTGTTCCACAATTCGGAAATTGAGTTGATACATCAATAAATTGAAAAGTGGAATTGGTTTCTAGTAAACAAACCATAACTATTCTAAAGTTTAGTAGCATAATGAAGTAAAAGAAACACCTTTTTCTTTTTTGGGTTTCTCCTTTTTTTCCTTCTTGGGTCTGGCTTGCGCCTGCTGGCGGGACTCTTGTCTCTGCTTAATCGTCTCCGAAATAAAGTTGTACATCAAGTACACCTGCAAAATGAACATTTAAGATAAAATAAATTACCGATTGATTTTTAGAATTTATATTACTATATAATACATAGAAATAGATCTATATAAATATAATTATATATGTATATGTAGCCAATTTGTTATCCTAGTATCCCATAACAAAAGCCTACAGTGCTTACTTTGGGGCTAGGCTAATTAGTGTGTATTGGAAATATTTATTTATTTATGTGAACGTCGAGTTGCGGAAACACCAGTAGCAGGAAGAAGAAAACTAAAGAAGCATATACTATTACTTTTTTTTGTCTGGGTAATGCCTTACGCATCCTTCAACCACTGGGGGAGCGAGAAGAAGATATGTGGGACTCCTCCCTGCCCACTTCAGCCATCCCTAAGGCTCGTTGAAGTGAACAGGGCCCTACCTACGCTCTGAACAGGACCACTGAAAACCAGACAATATCCCTGCACCGTGTCACCCGATCCGCATTGCTAGGACCGCAGTCCCAGCAATGCGGATCGGGAGTGCGGGTGGTGTTGCGGTACCCTATTCGACTGCCGCTCAAAGCATATACTATACCTGGAATGAGACTAGCACTGATAGCGCGGCGTATCTCAAAGGCAATGGCGCGATTCCCGCCAGACCGAAGTGGAACGTGAGAACGCCCAGCACCAACGAGCAGAGACGCACCGCCACGAATATAACGCCGTTCACCACGCTCAAAACTATGCAAAAGCAAAACGACAATATGAAACACAAATCTATACATATAATAAAATGTACGTAATACTTGGGGTGTGATCTACAATCGATCCCGAAACCAAAAATATAGTTTTCAGAATTTTTGTCTGTTTGTCTGTATGTATGTCCGGGATAAACTCAAGTACTGCATAGATTTACTTCAAATTTGGCACGAATATTATGAAGTCGGGTCAACATATAGGCTACATATTATCAGGCTATCACCTACTGGGAACAAGCAGTGAACCTTTATTTCTAATTATCTCCACGCGTGCGAAGTCGCGGGCGGCCGCTAGTAATTTAATAGGGATGATGACAGGGTAAAGTAAACGAAATTCTATTTAGTCCATGGATTACATTATAAAAAAACAAAGAAAAATTTTGTTTTCTTTTTTCAATTATCCAAAAAATTACAAACTAAAGCGCGTCAAAGTTTGGGAGTGCGGGCTCGTGACGCCAACTCTAAGTAAAAATATTAGACTTCAATACAAGACGTCAAGCGACATTTCAAATCAATATATAAATATCTTTGTAATTTTTTGATTATGTAAATAAAGAAAAAATAAATTTGTAAAATTTTTAGTCATCATCCCTAATATGAAAATTTCTATTAAAGCTTCATTCCCAATAAAGAGTTTTAATTAAAAGGCAACATTTATTTTTAATTTGCAACTTTGATCTCTCTCAATAGAATAAGAATACAAAATTTAATTAAGTTTGTCTACACAAACTTGTATGCAGACTATCAATTAACAGTACTGTATTGAACATAAATATGTATGAACATTCTCTATGTAAAGATTTATGTGGTTATTTATAAAAGCAAAGAGATATGACGAATTATGAGATATTGGGCATAAAGTGAAACTTACATTTGTCTAAGACATCTTCACGCTCTCCCCTCAGAATAGTGTTGAGACGGTAGCTGTGTGCAATAAACTCGCCGAGTGAGTGCAGCACAACAAGGCTCACACCAACACGTTGGAATCTACAAATCAAATCATATTAATAAATAAATTCACAAAACAATAAATCATGATTCACATTTATCAAGTTGAAATACACAATAAACTAAAAAAGAAGAATATTACTATATCAAAGGAAAAACTTACAATAAAAAACATTACTAGAAAAATTCAAACCTGACTAGGCATCAGACTACTGTGCTAGTATCAAACCTAAATAAATTAATATAAAATTATAGTTTGTATACTAAATCAACTTACTTGAATCCATAAGCAACTGCTACAAAGGCAAAAGCAGCTGCTGCATGCCTAATACGACCAGCCCATTCATCTTTCTTAATGCGTTGGAAGTACAGCTCAGGGATAGAGTGCAACCAATATGCAGCTTGCACAATCCACCAAAGCTTCAACAAGAAACTCATTGGGTGGTCTGGGTAACCTGAAGAGGAGATGGTTGTTATGATAGTATACCTTTCAATTCTATTCTAATTCTACTACCTATATAGTTAAATAGATTATGTGACTTATGTATTATTATTATTAATACATAAGTAAACTTTAGTCAGGCAGGCAGTTGAAACAATTGATAAATACTTGTATCCTACTATATATATACCTATATATATATAATGTAACGTGTTAAAAACGTCACATGGATCTCCTTCGCTCGAAGAGCGAGATAGAAGATTTTTTTTGGTTGTCTCTCTGGTCGTTTTTATCTCGCGCCCATTTTCTGTAATCTGTGCACTTTTGAATAATTATGTTGCTAAATTTATCGAGCAGTGGGCTGAATGGACGTTGTTCTCTTTGCCTACCGCCAAGACAAACTTAAGAAAAGAACTGTCACTTCACTTCACGACCAAAATTTTTACGAGAAACATGTAAAAATCATAATCGTAATTTTTCACATGATAATTCATTAGATTGTCAATTATTTTTTAATGGTAAGTGTTTTTCCAAATTCGAAAAGTGTTTTGATTCATATATTTCAATGATTTACATTAGGATTCATTTCATTTCTTTTTCAGATGAAACATTTTATATCATCCATACAAAATGGCGTTGACCATGTTTTAAGCTTAATTTAATTGAAAAAAACGGTAAGAACCTTAGAGATTCCCTTAGATTTACATTTTTCCTTTGTTGTGAGCCATGTGCTAATTTGAGGAATGTTCGTTTTCAGCGAAAAGCGTTTTTTTTTATATATGGAATTTTATTTGGATATCGTATCCAAATCACGATGTTTCCCGTGATGTGGAGGTGAACCCATGGGATGTAACAACGGCCATCCTTTACATATTTGCAACACCAGACATATTTAACTACAAAGATGCAGCAAAGTCGGTAATATTCAAATTTATGGTTGTACCAGCACCCATATTAAAGGTAAATTTTCATTTAATTCTTGGTAGTCATAGTGTAGAATAGTTTCTAAATTTAGCAATAACCCTTTTGGACGTAAGTAATTTTGCAGTAAATTTAAATAAATTACAAACCCAAAATGAACATGGATTTGCATTAGACTCCCCTTTGCGATTAATAGTTTGATGCTTTCCCGGCTAATATGGTATAATAATGTGGTAGGTCTGGCGCCCGAGTATTCTATTTAATTAATTTCGGCTTGTCCATTTCTCTCAAACTTTTTATTTTTTAATATTACAATGATGTCGATTCTGGCATGATTCTCTAAAGCTAAACTTAAATTTGACAACAGTGCATCCTTGTCCTTCTCTATACAGAATGAAAAGGTGAGACTGATTTTAAATTTAGTTTTAAGTTTAGAGAATCACGCCAGAATCGACACCAATATGTACTTTATTTAATCTTATAACTTACGTAGCGCCACGCCACTGCTTTGACCAGTTCACTATTCAAGTAAAATCAGGCTGAAGCCTTTCATAATCGATGAGTGGATGTGCAAATATCTTTTATCATTCATAAGTTCATGAACTTGCTTTTATAAAATTAATTTGTTTACTGTTAAATATCTTTTCCAGCTGATAAGATAAATGTGGAGATCATACAATTTGTTATGTAAGAGATAAATTAATTTCTTCATATTAGATATATATTTTTATATAAGAGCACAAAATTATATGATTGAAATTGTACAGAAGTTCAATGATTATTAGGTGATTTACCAGATTAAAAAAATATATTAATATTGAAAACAACAATAAAAATTTACTAATCTGAAAACACTCTCAAACATAATTATTTTACGGACTCAATAGTACATAATTAATCTTACCATCCCATAACTTTGATATGTTGAAGACAAATCCTTCACGCAGAATAGCATCACCTCCCCAGAAAAGTGTCACTAAGTGGAATACAACCAGCTGTCCAGATTCATTGAGGGCACTCAATCTTGATTTGGATAGGTGGAATTTCTTTGATATTTTCTGTAGAAAGCAAAAAGGGCTTAATAGTAATGAAAGGCTTATTCATTAGGTTTATATCAAAGTTAAAAGATTGAAAGTACACTAACGTCAAGGAAGTATTCCTGAAGGATGGCATGCATAACAATACAAACAAGTGAGTAGAAGAAAACAGCACAAGCATCTTTCCATCCTGCCTCATAAGTAAAAGGCTCTCCTTTGGGTGCTTCTCTTGTAGGTTCAACTCCACTGACATTGTGATGAAGACTGATAAATAAACTTGCAACAGGGCTCGTAGACTGTAATGAAATAACAATTGTAAGGAAAATCGTATAGTATAAGTACGTGTACGTGGCATTCACAGTTAACTTACCTGCACCATCAATCCAACCAAAAAAACCATAACCACACAGGACACTATGTCCGCATGGTTCTGAATGACAAATTCATGACTTAAAATAGGTGGGTTCTTGTTAGATTTCCTTCCAATTGCTGGTTTTACACCCATTTTTCTGGCAATAACCTTATTCTGTAATCGTATGTTATGATGGTGAATCGCAAAAATGGAATAATTTTATAAATGAAAACTTTTACATATAAGTAAATTGTAATTGATAATAGAAAGTTACACGTACCAATACGAAGCTAATAAGATTTTTTTTACCGAAACAAAAATATTAAAATCTGACAGCAATCGCACCGACGTGACACTTTCACTTGCTACGCGATAAAACGTCAACTCGAAAGCGGTCGTTTTGTTGTTGTGTTGGCAGGCGGATGTGCCAACTTTGTTTATATTTAAAATACTATTATAAACTTTTCTTCGATTTTATAATAAAATTAGATATTTTTAAATAATCGATCATCTGATATTGAAATTTTGTTGAGGGAAAAAATAGCTATGCAATGTTATACATTATAAATTAACAGTTGTCGACCGGAAATAGTTTTACGCACGTTGGCATTTCACAGATTTTGGTCATGTTTTAGTTTTTTTTTTTATTGAAAATTTCCATTTCAAATAAGAACAAAGAGTTCAAAATCTATACAGCCTAGTCTTTATTATTAATATAATCTTCAACATGGTCCAAGCCCTGGCCAAAATTTGCAACATACATGGCAACTGTTGAGGAAGTAGATCGTATAAAGGAAAGACATCAGCTCGTAATATTTAGTTTATGTAGCAATCACATTAACATTTTATAGATTGACCATTGATGTTTCTGCAAAAGATCCTAGTATGAAGTCACGGTGACGGTGATTAACATTTCATTTGACATTTACCGGTTCTCTAAGGTAGTTTTCCAATTACAGAGCATAATGCGACTTAGTGGCGTACAATGCCGAATTATGCTGATGCTTAATTGGAACGTGAATTAGTTTTCAAATGCACCATCAGAGTGCGCTAAGTTCAGTGTTGAAACAAAAAAAAATCAATATTTGTACCTTCATTCATGTTTATATTTAATTTTTTAACACAGTTTGAATTAACTTTGATTATTTAAAAAAAACTATAATGAAACGAAAGTTTTAATAATTTTTCAACAATAAATAATATTACTAACGATAACATATAAATAAAACATTTCGATCAATGCCAACTTAAAGAAAAAACACTTGTTATTTTTCTATCTCTGAGTTGGTACGATTGCACACATCACACGAAAACATTAGTTTTAAGAAACTAATGCTTTCAACAAGAAACATTCGACGTTAAGCATTATGCCGCATAATGCGCTCTAGTGCTGTAATTGGAAAACTACCTAAGATTTATAAATTTATTTTTCCCTAATGCCTTGGTCAATATATCCGATAATTATTTTTCTGTAAGAACCTTTCTATATTAACAATACCTTTTTTCTCGTAGTCATATACGAAATGGTAGCTTATGTCAATATGCTAACAATTTTTAACAAAACCTCCCGATCTTTGACAACACAATAGTCCCGTTATTGTCTTCGTAAATTTTTACCGAGTCCCTAATCTCAACCCCTAAATCACATAACACACCTATTATCGAAAGTACTTCTTCAACACAGTCTGCCAAAGTATAATACTCGGCATGAGTTAAATATCTTGACACTATTTTCTGATCATGTGCCTTCCACAAGATCGGATTATTAAAGAATTCCTGTCGTCGAATTCCTATCAGATTTATCTGAGGCCCAATCAACGTCAATTTAAGCGTCCAATTGTCCTTCATATTCGGCGTTACAGGTAACACTTCATCTTTAAGTGTCTCGTATGCAGTGAAGATATTTGAGAACTCGCAAGGCGTATTTAAAATGAGTATCACTCTATAATGCGATTCAAATAACAACAGGAATGCTAATGACCTCCATCTGTCAAATGTCGCATGAAAACTACGAGTTGCAAAAAATCTCGGAATACTTTTTTAGCACAAAACCAATCATTTTTAAACATATAATAAAAAATATTGATAATTAATATTGGTCGATCGGTCGGCTATGGCTGGTTGATAACCTAAATGTCACATATGTTGCATTCAGAAACTCGATTTTAAACTTTCGTTTACTTAAAGGATGCTTGTTCGTATGTGACCTGCATTATTATTCATAACTACTCCGGCGGTAATGCAGAGATGAGCGGAATTGAAGAGCTAGATTCTGATTAATGTTTTTTCTCACATAGTCTTAATAAAGAAATATAAATAAAAATCGGTTTGTTTTGTTTCTCAATCTTAGTAAATTAATTTTATTAAAAAAATCTGATGTTTTTTCTCACTTAATCTTAGTAAATAAGTTTTATTAAATAGAAACTTTTTTTTGCTCACTCTACCTATTTGGTTTGAATTGTAAGATATGACGTCAAAATATGACGCCCAGTCGGTCCTATTCTTAGTTGAAACAAATTAAATGCATTTTGGGACCGACTCGAGTAGTTTACGCTATAACATCTTAGAGCATACACCACTGGAGATGGCATGGGCGGGCGAACCCCTTCGTGAAAACATGGCCACTGACCATGAACGAAAACTAGTTCACGGCGCGACCGTTACCATTTTGGATCGATCTGCCACTTCAATCCTGCTGAAACATGCTGTTTCCTATAATATACAAGTATTTTTAAATTCTAAAAAGTTTGTATTCTGGAATAAAATTTAATTAAAAGAAAAAGTTCGAAATCTCAAATGAATGACAAAAATAATTGGTAGAAATTCATATTTTCCGTCACATGAAAATGAATGAATGGTATTTTTAATACTGGAAAACATTTAACCAGATTTAGGGTACGGCCACAGTGCATTCAGGATCAAAATCAGATTCAGACTCAGAAAACAAGCGCGAGAAATAAACAGTGTAGTTTAAGCAGGGTAAAATTAGTAAAATTCTAAAAAGTAATCGAATTCAATAAACTTTTTTGTGGCCAGCATTCTAAAAGAAAAGTTTTTACTGTGTGACAATACTTATGACCTGACTGTGTATTTGCTATTTCTCCTCTAAATTTAATAGTGTTATTTCTATTTACAATACATGAAACGCTTAATAGATCTTTTTTATATTTGGAACATAATATACACAGTCAGGTCAACTCAGGTCATAATTATTGTCACACAGTAAAAACTTTTCTTTTAGAATTCTGGCCGCAAAAAAGTTTGTTGAATTTGAATTTCGAATTGTTCATGAAAATAAAAATGTATACTTTTTAGAATTTTACTCATTTTTAAGTATGGAGTGGACGCTTGAAGACCGTGTTGCAGTTATTGCGTTGCATTGCGGTTACGCGCCAATTTCAATTTTTGACATACTGAAAAATTTTTATATAACCAAAAGATTCGTTTATCGTACCATCATATGATACAATGAAGATAACAGTGTAGATGACAGGTCAAGAAGTGGTCGCTCTCGTTCTGTTAGGACTCCAGCAGTGATAAAAGCTGTGAAGGCGCGAATTCAAAGAAATCCCAAACGTAAGCAGAAACTGTTGACCCTTCAGATGGGGTTAAGCAGAACCACGGTGAAAAGGGTGTTAAATGAAGACTTAGGGCTTCGGGCATATCGAAGAAAAACAGAACATTGTTTGAATGCTCGTCTAATGGACCTGAGACTGAAGAGATGCCGCGCTTTGTTGAGCGGCACGCGGGAAAAAAATATCGGGAAATTCTTTTTTCGGATGAAAAAATTTTTACCGTAGAAGAGAGCAACAAACAAAATGATAAGGTGTACGCACACAGTAGTGAAGAAGCGAGCAACCGTATTCCGCGTGTCCAACGAGGTCATTTTCCATGGTTGGGAGTTTCTTATTGGGGCTTAACAGAGGTACATTTTTGTGAGAAAGGTGTAAAAACGAATGCAGTTGTGTATCAAAATGTAGGTCACCTACACGGTGGTCAGACTTAGTAAAGTCGCTCACTGGCCTATCAATAACCAAGGCTATAAAGACTGACGAGGACAGGAATACTTACGTGGAGAAGCATAGTATATCAGGTGGTCAACATTCAAGCTAAACACGACCTTCAGCAATGAAGATAGCGACTAAGAAGAAGAAAATATATATTACCAGGATACGACCAGTAGCACGGGAGTATTGATGAAAATATTGCGAAAACGGGTATAAATATTCCATTTGTGAGATTCCGTTGCGTGCGCTGGGTAAACGGTTAAAGTTACACAAAAATCATATATTACGGAATTCTTCCCCTTCAAAAAATCTGTAAAAAAGTCCACGACAGTCTATGTCCATATTTTAAGTTTGACTCACTATAAACCTTTTTCTTCAAATAAACGCGGGTGAAACTGCAGGGGACCTCTAGTTGTGACATAACTGTAATAGACATAATTATGGTATTGCGGAGTTTTTTGTAGATATTGGTATCCTCTATAAAGCTTTAGTACATCAGTACTTTTTGAGCCAATTCGTTACAAACATACTTACATACAAATCTTTCCTCTGTATTATATTAGTATAGATATATATACGTGTAAAACTCTCAGGTAAAGCAACCAATAAAGTTCAGTATATCGTCTTCCGAAACGACTTCTCCAGCATTTTTCAACTCATTGATATGTTTTTAAAATATTTGTTTCTTAGGTTTTCACGCACATCACTCATTAAATAAAACTAGTTTTTACGGGTTAATGCACGAAACTTTATTTATTTATTGACGTTTCGCAGCCTTTTCAGGTCTGCATCGTCAGAATAATGATTTTTTATTTAAAATTGTCGAGCTACCTTCGAAAGACTTATATTGAGGGTTCGGTTATTTCATTGGAAGATTTTTAAATTTTATTGTCTATGTATGAATTTATTATTTAATTTACTTAATAAAGTATTTTATTCAAAATTCTTGTTTGTAATTTTGAGTTTATTTATTTGACCCTAACTACCGTAAACTACCACCGGTTCCAAAATTGGGAGACCTTCCTGAGAAGAATCGGCGAAACAAACTCAAGAGAGGCTTTCTATCTCCTTCTTATGTTAAATTATGCAAACAAAAAGAACTAATAGTATCTGATGGTCTTGCAGTGTGTGCTCGGGGTTGGGATTTTATCTCCTGTATAATAGGTTCCCAAGCTGGTGGTATATACCAACCATCTTCCCTATTGAAATTTGGATATTTTTTAATCTCAATAGCCTCGCGCATCATTCGAGGAACGAACCGCCGCTCAGCTGCAAGGATCTGTGGTCTATCAAATCTAATGTAGTGGTTTGGTCCCCCTAATGCATGTTCACACACTGCAGATTTATTTTCGCGCCTATGTTTCATATCTGCGATATGTTCTTTTACCCGAGTCCCTATACTCCTCTTTGTTTGCCCGATTACCGAGTACCGAGTACCTCAATGGTGACTCACACCATCACCCGAAACAATTAACTGCCGTAGGAAACTCTTTGTTTCAGAGAGCACGGGGTGTCTGTGACGAACAAGACCTGGCAGCTGAACTTCAGCATGTCGAGCAAGTACTGAAGGATAATAACCTGAATGTACCACGCCGCCGTCACAGTCGCGTCAAACCTAGCACAGTCGACCGACAACCTGCTATACTACCTTACATGAAAGGAGTCACTGACAAGATTGGGAGGATTCTGAAGCGTGCTTCAATCAATACATACTTCAAGCCGCCAAAGAAGATCAACCAGTTTCTACGACCTGTCAAGTGCAATATACCCTTTCAAGTTGCTGGTGTCTACAAACTTGAATGCGACTGTGGACTCTCCTACATCGGGCAAACAAAGAGGAGTATAGGGACTCGGGTAAAAGAACATATCGCAGATATGAAACAAGGCGCGAAAATAAATCTGCAGTGTGTGAACATGCATTAGGGGGACCAAACCACTACATTAGATTTGATAGACCACAGATCCTTGCAGCTGAGCGGCGGTTCGTTCCTCGAATGATGCGCGAGGCTATTGAGATTAAAAAATATCCAAATTTCAATAGGGAAGATGGTTGGTATATACCACCAGCTTGGGAACCTATTATACAGGAGATAAAATCCCAACCCCGAGCACACACTGCAAGACCATCAGATACTATTAGTTCTTTTTGTTTGCATAATTTAACATAAGAAGGAGATAGAAAGCCTCTCTTGAGTTTGTTTCGCCGGTTCTTCTCAGGAAGGTCTCCCAATTTTGGAACCGGTGGTAGTTTACGGTAGTTAGGGTCAATTAAATAAACTCAAAATTACAAACAAGAATTTTGAATAAAATACTTTATTAAGTAAATTAAATAATAAATTCATACATAGACAATAAAATTTTAAAAATCTTCCAATGAAATAACCGAACGCTCAATATAAGTCTTTCGAAGGTAGCTCGACAATTTTAAATAAAAAATCATTATTCTGACGATGCAGACCTGAAAAGGCTGCGAAACGTCAATAAATAAATAAAGTTTCGTGCATTAACCCGTAAAAACTAGTTTTATTTAATGTTTTTAAAATGTTTGTATACTACCTATATCGTCGCCATCCTTAAATTTTGTTTCTATCAATTTGTTTATCATTGGGTCATAGCAAGATTCATCGTCCTAGGGTCAAATACTAAGTCTATAATTGGGTCCAAGTGCAACAGCGACCGCCGATTTCAAAAAATCTAGTAAAGCGGTGTCTTTATTTCTTTCATAAAAAAGGCTATAGCGATATTGAATAGTGAAGTGCTCTTTCTCGCTGCGGCCGAGCAGTCAGTCCAAGACACGCAACACGCTATGACTTTCGTACGCAACTGGTCTAATGTATCTAGCGCTCTTACCACTCAGCGACTATGTCAGGAGGTGTCAGTGACTCAGCGTACGGGTGTTTTCGGAGTCTTCTTCTTCTTTACAACCATAGATATTACAACCTTCTTCTTTGGAACACAAAAGTTGACAAAGTTCGGAATATTATTCAGTATACTTTTACACAAAATGTTAAAATATTGTCAAGAAGGCATCTAATTTATAAGTAAATTGGAGGCGCAATTAAAATAATGCTTGTTCTACTTCATAGACGAATGATTGATATTCAGTCGTCGAGCGAAGCGAGACTAATTATTAATCTATGTTCGGCTTAGAGCATTTTATGCTTTAGGATGTCCGGTAGTGGCCACCACACTATCGGCCTACGGCTTCTCGTTCGGGGCGTGTCGGCATCTCCTCTTCTAACCTGACACCATCCTGAACGCTTACTTTAACATTATTCCAAAATGCCATCACAATTTGTTTTATCTTAATTTTTTTCTACACATCATACACTCTCGTACATTTTCGGACGTGAGGTAAATGGTGAATTCATCCTAGCGCCGATTCGAAGCGAACTTCAGAAACGCAACAAAGTTAATTCACTTTTATCTCCGCAACGTACCTACTATTCCTTCTGTGATAAAAAGAAGACGAGCACTCCACTATTATTATCAGTTCAGAAGGATTACCTATATGAATTAAATTGCGGAAATAAGGGTGATTTTGCTGTTACTGTTTCTAAAATTCGCTTCGCGCGCCGCTAGTATGTATTGACCATCGGGCAACCGTTCTCTCAATAGAAGCTTATAACTTAGAACATAAGGGGTTTGTAATGGTAAGACACAGTCACAGACTACAGAAAGAGGTCCTCTTTCATGTTCTGTGGCCTCCCCCAAGTAATCGGCCATATCTGCTGTCTGTATGATACGAAGCTAATCTCTAAATAAAAATCATTATAAAGCCAGTTTGTATTCATTTTATTAATTATAATTTAAATAATCTGCTATAAATATAGCATAATGTCAGAACATTTATAATTTCCTCAAATTTTAAATAATTTCACAAACTTTCAAAATACTGTTAGTAAACTTAAAATATAAAAATTCAAAATCCTATATTCATAGACACAAAGTTAAGCAGTGATAAAATTTAACAATAGCTAAATAATTTATAAATCAGTTAGTTATTTATACTCCGGAAGGATAAAACACTTATTGCTTACACATTTATTTACCAAAGTAAAACATGAATCAAAAATAAAATAAATAAATTGATCTAGAAACAACAAACACAGCCGTTAAGTTCTTATACTTTCCCCTAATAACTTTAACAAAAAAGTGTAAAAAAATATCAAAAATTGTTATAACTGTAAATTAGAATTCAATTTCATTAACACTGGGACTGTGGCTCCTAATTCACATATAATTTTAAAAGTACATCTAAGGTTACGTTAGTATAAATAATGATTTTTATTTAATTCCGCACATATATGTCTTTCTGTGCCACAGCAATATTTTTGTGAACTAATAACTAAATTAATCTGTATATTTCTATAGAACAATTTACGATAACTACTACACAATTTAATACTACTAATTATCTACTTCTAAAATGCAACATTTTAGAATCTTTTATCCACTAACAGGTGTCTTTATAAAGAGCCTGTGGGTTATAAATCTACAAGATAAATGTAGTAGTTCGGTTTCTTAATGATTGACCATAGAGACATACACATAAGTACATATACTATGAAAAGGTCTTTATGAGATATTATGAAAATTTAGAACCTAAAATGGACTGTCCTGATAACACACCGCTGAGTGAGAATCATTTATCTTGTAGCTTAAAAATTAATATATTCAATTTCTTTAAAATCAAAGCAAAAAAAGCTATGAAGGTAGAGAGTTTAAATGACACATTCAGAGTCGATCTCGCCTTGTTCGACAGTCATGTACATTCCTTCTTCCTCGTAGGTGGAGTCATGTTTAGCAAGAATACGAAGTAACGGACGCAGTTTCATCCACCACTGATGTTTCGGTATTCTCTGACTATAAAAAAATTAAGGTATTATCGTACACACACTTTTTACGGGCGTATTATTCGCTCCAACGAAGATTTTCTGCTCCACCGATGGTATTGGGTAGTGGAGTATGTCCACCGGTATTTTAAGGTGTCTTCTACTCAGGTTCAGGGGGTCTTGTCGAATTCCGATGGAGCAAATGTTTGTATGATGAATGCAAACATTTACTTTTGTACTTATCTCATGGCTGTTTTATATCATCATCACCAGCTTATTAATGTCCCCAACTGCTGGAGCACATTCCTTTTCAATGGATGGAATATGGAGATTGGGCCCTGACCCACCATGCGGGCCTAGTGCGTATTGGTGAGTGCTAGCGACTGCAGATGCAGCCGCGACCAACGGCTTAACGCGTCTTCCGAAGCACGGAGGAGCTCGAGATACATAATAAGTTTTTGGTCTCCCATCCAATGACCGGCGAGAGTTATTTGACTTCCATAATCGCAAGCCGATAGCGCTATCCACATGCGCCGTCGAGTCTTATTTTTTTTTAAATATGATGATTGGAAGATGGGCTTTAAAAGCTTTATAGGGGAGCTTGCAAAGACCATTTTGAATTTTTGAACTATTTGAGCCATGTTTGTTTTAGACAAAGTATGTAATTTTTTTTATCTAACTCTTATGACTTGATAAAATCCGAATCCGATCAAAATAGTACAATTAGAACGAAGTTAGTTAAAGTATCATAATTTGATAAACAGGAACTATTTTCAATAATTTGTGAGCTATTTGCATAAATGATATCTCAAAAGAAAAATAATAACCAAGCTTGTTTTTGAAAGCTTTGAATCAAATCAAAAACATAAATGTGAAATGAGAGCCAAGTTAAATATTATGATATATGCCTTGGTTGTAGACTTTAACAAAAAAAGAAGTGAGATCTAAATGGGCGCCAAGTTCAATCCTGAAATTTATTTATAACTATAAAAATATTTGATAACAACTTAAAATATGATATCTTTTTATAACTTAGGCTAATTTATTGAAGCCTAAGGTCTGACTTGGCTAGTTCTCATATACGAATTATTATTAAGTACCTCCTGAAACAGTCCTATTTTCGACGAATAAAATAATAACTTACAGCTTTAGAACTTGCTACGGCTTTTTATTTGAAATTTAAATCATTTATGAAAACTAGCCAAGTCAGACCTAGGCTTCAAAATATTATCCTAAGTTATAAGAAGGCATTATATTTTAAGTTGTTATCAAATGTTTCATGTTGTTATCTATATATATAAAAATGTTAAAAACCCGTTTTCCGTTGTCACGACATAACATGAAAACGGCTTGACCGATTTGGCTGTTTTTTTTTTTGTAGTTTTCTAATACTCTGTACAAGGTTCTTACGGAAAAAAATATAAAGAAAATCCCAAGGGGATAAAATAAGGAATGAAAGTTTGTATGAAACTTTATCAATTTTAAACCGATCGGGCTGAGACTTTGCATGCAGGTATAAGAAGAATCATAGATGAATGTCATTGTGTATAATACAAGCCTGAGAACAAAAACTGTAGTCTACACTTCAGCTCTACACCGAAGCGAAGCGAGGGCGGGCCGCTAGTTATAAATAAATTTCAGGACCGACCATTGAACTTGGCACCCATTTAGATATCACTTCTTTTGTTTTTGGAATCAACAACCAAGTCATATACCTAGTCAGGTCATAAATTCTGTCACATGTTTAATATAAAATAATTGAAACAAGTTTATTCATTATGTAACCATTTATATACCAAAATGAACTTAACAAAACATAGATTCTTATGACAATAAAGTTTATTCAAAATGACCTCCGTGATTTTGAATACAGGCCTTCAATCTGCGCGGCCAGTCGTCTATCGCAGCACGAACGAGGTCCATGTCAATATCGGCGGCTACCTTAATCAAGGATGTCTTGAGTGACTCCAAATTGGGATGAGGCTTTGAGCACGCCTATTCCTCCAAGTGTTGCCATATCTTGTAATCTATCGGTCTCAAATCTGGACTGGCGGAGGGCCAGTTTTCGTGCCGGATGAAGTCGATTTCACGCGCCGCCAGCCAGTCTTGAGTGCTTTTAGCTCTGAGCTGGCGCCGAATCTTGTTGGAATACCCAGTGCCTGTTATTGAACATGGTATGAGAAACAGATTCCACAAGGTTCGTCAGGTCTGTATTTTGATACACAACTGCATTCGTTTTTACACCTTTCCCACAAAAATGTACCTCTGTTAAGCCTCAATAAGAAACTTCCAACCATACCATGAGCGAGGATGGAAAATGACCTGCGGAATACGGTTGCTCGCTTCTTCACTACTGTGTGCGTACACCTTATCATTTTGTTTTGTTGTAGCTCTGTTGTAGAAAAAAGAATTTCCCGATATATTTTTTTTCCCGCGTGCCGCTTCAACAAAGCGCGGCATCTCTTCAGTCTCAGATCCATTAGACGAGCATTCAAACGATGTCCTGTTTTTCTTCGATATGTCCGAAGCCCTAAGTCTTCATTTAACACCCTTTTCACCGTGGTTCTGCTTAACCCCATCTGAAGGGCCAACAGTTTCTGCTTACGTTTGGGATTTCTTTGAATTCGCGCCTTCACAGCTTTTATCACTGCTGGAGTCCTAATAGACCGAGGGCGACCACTTCTTGACCTGTCATCTACACTAGAGTCTTCATTGTGTCGTTTGATGGTACGATAAACGAATCTTTTGGTTTTTATTCAAATTTTTCAGTATGTCAAAAATTTGAATTGGCGCGTAACCGCAACGATGCAACGCAATAACTGCAACACGGTCTTCTTTAAGCGTCCACTCCATATTTAAAAACGAGTAAAATTCTAAAAAGTATTCATTTTTATTTTCATGAACAAATCGAAATTCGAATTCAATAAATATTTTTTGTGGCCAGCATTCTAAAAAGAAAAGTTTTTACTGTGTGATAATACTTATGACCTGACTGTGTATAATATTGAACTTGGCTCTCATTCCACATTTATGTTTTGATGGGATATCATTACTTTTTGTACAGAAATTATTAGTAGATACTTATCCATAATGAAGTTAATATCAAATGGATTTTGTCAATACTAAATCTCAGTAAATAACGTAATAAATACGAAAGTCGACTTTATTCTTAGTTATAAGTGGTTTAAAACTGATGTTTGGATTAAAAAAAATCAAGGTGGTATTCCACTCATGTCATATTCACCTGAAGATCCAAAACTCCCAAAAAAATCCGATTAATTTTAATTTGTTGATTCTTACACTATATAAATTATAACAAAATGATAAAAAATTAGAAGTAAACAAGGGGTGGTTAGTGGCAGAAAATCGGGAGCAGTGGCGTGCATTAGGGGAGACCTATGTCCAGCAGTGGACGAGCATGGGTCGATGATGATGATGATGATGATGAAACAAGGGGTTAGATTGCATAAATATTATTTAAAAAAAAATGTCAAAAATTAATTTAACATTCAAACTGCTCAGTTTACCCAAAGTGGCTACTTTGGGTTTTCTTACCAAAAGTCATTGGGTCATTAGTCAAAGGCATTAGGTTAAAAAAAATACATACTTTGTCCATGACCAACACGACTCTAACTAATCATTCAAAATGGTCTATCTATGCAAGCGTCCCTTTAAAGCTGTGCACCCATAATCCAATCATCCTATATATTTCTAGAAAAATATACTCATCTATGTATCAATAATGTTTTTCTATCCATTACCCTAGTATCCCATTACACAAGCATTACAGTGCTTACTTTGCTAAAATCTAAAGCTCGGCTAAAATTGGTGGGACTTTTAAAATATTCATTATAATATCTAAGTGTTGCTCCAATTACTTTGCTTTAACTGTTACTTACGCGAAATTAGTTTGGGCCTTCAGGTCTTCTAGTGGGGTAAACTTGTATTGGCGTTTGACGATGCCCAGTAGGCAGGCGGTGTCCGGAGTATCGGCGGGTCCCTTTTGCAATGCTTCCACTAACCAACGGAGGCATTTAGCCGCCATTTTTGTTCCCATGTTGCGATCAAAAGGTGTGGGAGAACCACCTTGTTGCATATGCCCTGCGTTGAACGTAAAAATATTAAAATGCCGAAATCGACTGTCTTGTCGATGCCATTTGTAATTTTGCAGGCGGATTGTAACTTTCACCGTATTACATTTCGGCTGGCTGTATTTTAATTTTCAAATTAATAAAGTATATATAGGTATAAATAATAGTGCTAAATGTACAATATGTCTGCGAAATATATACAAAGGGGATGTTCTGTGGAGGAATCAAGATACTTAATTTCTGATCACCCATCCTAAGGTCAGTCACTATAAATCGTGTCATTAAGGAAAGGAATCGCAAATGACGACTTAAGACATTCTGTCCCCCTCGCACATGCTATCCTAAGTAACGGGCGAGAGAGACAGAATTTCTTGCGTCGGCATTTTCGATTTCTTTCCCTAATGACAAGACGACGACTTAAATTGTGCTTTGTTTCCTCACCGAGTACATTCATCCGGTCGTGAACAACCCCTTGCTCTCCTCGGAATAGAGGCGGTGGATGAACTCTATCTGTATTTTAGTTGTCGTTGGCCTTCTCTTTGTGCTAGCGGCCTCCTAGGCCGCTTTATGCATTGCTGTTAAATCTGTATATAAAATAAAAAATGTGGTTTTGTTTCCTCACCGAGTACATTCATGATGGCCGTGAATAAACCCTTGCCCTCCTCGAAAGAGGCAGTAGATGAGCTCTGTATTGTTGGCCTTCTCGTTACGCAGTATGTCTATTGTCTTGTTGTAATAATTGTAAAAAAAAATTAGATTTTGTTTCCTCACCGAGTACATTCATCCTGGCCGTGAACAACCCCTTGCCTTCTTCAGAATAGAGACGATAGATGAACTCTGTATTGTAGTTGTCGTTGGCCTTCTCGTTACGCAATATGAGACCGCGCTGAATACCACCAGTCATTTTTGACGCCATATGGTAAACGTCTTGTTGTAAATCTTTGATTGAGAATTTCTCCTCGTATATGTAAGCTGCGTCGGCACCCCCAGCCAAACCTGCAGATAAGAGGACAAAATTTTACTAGAAATAAAAACTATACTCGACATAAACATAAGACTGGATTTAAAACAGCACCCTTCGCTAAACAATACCTACCACACAATATTCAGACTCATTAAATTGATCTAGGTACTTACTAAAGAAATTTGATAACATTGAAGATATTTATTTAATACAAACAAAATTATCCAAGTTAACTCACCTGCCAGGGTAGCCAAATAGCCGCAGTAACCACCCATGGTTTCAATGACGAAGACACGACGTTTAGTGCCCTGCACGATATTAATTAGCAGATAAGTTTTTATTAAATGATTACGCGATGTGTGTGAACTGTGTGGTAATATGAGACATACGTTGTACGAGCATACAACGATGATACGCTCGACGCATTTTCCGTTAGATATGTACCGACCCTTAGGCTTTGGTCTCCTATAAACGCCGTAGGCCGCGTACAACGCCACGCCTTACGCCGCGTCACGATGCTTTTATTGAAATGTATTGTTGTGGTCTGGTCATTCATACGCCGACATCGGTGTGTGAACGCCGTAGTTGGGCTTTCGGACGCTTTGCGCCGCGTCTCTGATTATTTCAAGCCATTGCAGCGTGAAAGTCGTATTTAGCGTCAATACAAACTGTCGAAATTTGACGAACACTGACGCCGACGTTCACTGTTTTGAACGAGACGTCGTCGTTCGCGATTGATACGTATTGACCACCGAGGCTGTGCTTGGCGTTCAGACGTTGTTTGAAACATTTACGCTAAAGGCAGACGCAGCGTGTAGCTTTTAATGGGAGACCGTAGCCTTATATGCGGTTTCTAGTGAGGATGCTCTGTGATAAAACCCCATCATCCTACAAAGCTTGTAATAAAGGTTCAATTAAATATTTAATATAAATAAAATTGTGATTTATATATTATCGTATAACTCGTGTCATTAATGAAAGGTATTGCAAATGACGCCATAAGATATTCTGTGTCTCTCGCACAGGCTATCCTGAGTAACGTGTGGGAGAGACCGATTGTCTTGCGTCATCATTTGCGATTTCTCTCTTTAATGACAGGAGTTTTACCTGTGCAGACTGGCGAATGCGGTCGCAGATCTCGGTGATTTCGTTGAGGGAGGTGTCGGCGCCGAGCGAGAAGTCAGTGCCGGGCACGTTGTTACTGATCGTGGATGGGATCACCACCAGTGGTATACAGAACTCGGGGTACTGGGAGCGGGACTCGTAGAGTTCTAAGCCCGCTTGATATGCCTGAGTGAGGGATAAATAAATCGCATATTAAGCTTCTTAGAGAGCGATCTATGATCCCCTTAGGGGTTCTTATGTGTATCAGTTGTCGATAGGAACTCAGTTAACCCTTGACCGAGGGTTTTCGAAAGAGCGGGTATTAGGGGCGCCTATAATTAATTTAAATTAAATTCCTTTAACATTTGAGTACCTCATTGTCTTAGTGTAAGTTTTTGACCAGTGTGTGTTGCTAGAGATGACTAACGGAAGCGAAACGTGGTCGCTTACTATGGGTATCATAAGAAGGCTCAAGGTCGCACAGCGGGCAATTTAACGAGCGTTGCTTGGTATTTCCCTGCGTGATAGAATCCTTGGGGAAGGCCTATGCTCAGCAGTGGGTGTCGTACGGCTGAGATGATGATGATGAACAATTGAATAAGTACTTATTTGTAAGTGGAATGAGTCCAATTATTGTCTTTAATTGTAAATGTTGAATGCGCGTGGCACAGGACCGATCGATGTGGAGATCCTCGGTGGAGGTCTACGCTCAGCAATGGGCGTCGTACGGCTGAGATAATGATAAAGAACATTTAAGTAAGTACTTATTTGTAAGTGGAATGAGACCAATTATTGTCATTTTGATTTGTCACGAGATGTCAGCGCCTTTGGTTATTAAATGGATAACATTTTGTGTTAAATCAGGTGGCAAGGTAGAAGAAGACTCGGTGCTGGAGGTGGGTGGTTATCTTCAAGAGCGCTAAGGCCCGTATTATAGAAAGATTCTGTAATACGGGCCTAAGAGTCTCCCGGCAGTTGACGGCGACAACATTATTACTAAACAAAAGGTTGGCTACTCGGAGATAGCCGTCGCTTATTTTAGATTCTATTAACTTGTAATTATTATTATTTTTTAAGCATGTAAATGCTTGATGTTTAAATGTAAAGAAAATATAACTAGAAAAAAATCCACGCGGATCAGGCAGCAGACGGGACTCGACCCCGCACCCTTCGCTGATGACCGCGTCGAAATTCCTTAAGCTGCAAGACAGCGCCATCTCTTCTCATTATAGGTAACCCACAATGTCAAATGAATACTTTTACAAGTATTAAACATTTGAAAGAAGAAATAGCAATTATAGTTATAATGTTTTTAAGCATGTAACTGCTTGATGTTTAAATCTAAAAAAATATAACTAGAAAAAACTATACTATTAATTTTATAGATTTATTGGACTTTGAAGGCCGAGAGGGAGGAATGGCAAGAGAACGAACAAAATGATTTCAGCGGCAGTTCTCCTTTTTTATGTGTAAGAGAGGTACAAGTGCCATTTTGGTCAATGTATAGAATTCTGCAACTAAATGTCATTAACTATAACTTGTCATTTTTATTGTAAATGTTGTCAGTGACTACAAAAAGTGTCACGTATCTATTCGAATTTACTATTTGTAACTTTGACAGCAATATAGATGATATTGCTGTCAATATCATGCATTATAGGCAATGAAAAGGAGACTGCTTTCAAATTCACAAATAGCAAATAGTCATGTAAAGTGCCGACATAAGAGCCTCCACTACCTTAAGCGGGAGCGGACGTCGCCGCATAGACCCGTTTGGCCAATTCCCCTTAACGGGAGTGCTATAGCTAACGTTATCGCTTACGATTTCATTTTGTTATTTCTGACCTCCTTCTTCTGAAAAAACCTTCGGCGGTCAGAAATAACAATATGAAATCGTAAGCGATAGCCATAGCAATCCCATTAGGCGATTGACCCCCGGACCCGTGTTCCGTCGAGGACTCGCCAGTACAATTTGATCGCACGGGTGAGCAGTCTTAAATAGATTATGTTTGTTGATAATACTTAACTATATAGCTACAAGACGACGTACACACGAGCAAAAAATATAGCCAGTTGAGCGTGCCCGCCTCACGTAGAACTGCTCAATGAAAATGACATGAAAGCTCGAGCGCAGAGCGGACGTCCGCTCCGTGCTCGAGCTTAAGACAGTGGAGGGTCTAAGAAGAAACACGGCTCATTGTTCAGCACCCTTGTTGAATTTGTTTTCACAAACAAGATTTTGTTTTACGATGAATAAAGATAAGCAATTGAGAGGTGCACATAATGATATGAAAAAATGATTAGTAATTTTACCTCAAATCCTCCAATAATAAGCAATCCCTGAATATGGAACTGCTTGATACGGGCCGCTATCTCCGGCTTCTTGTCTCCGGGCAGAGTACGTTTTGTGCCAAGGAAAGCTCCCCCCTGGGCCACCCAGCCAGTGACGTCAGACCTGTTTATAGTAATTGAATTTCAGCTAACCATAATTTTACTAATATAATAAATGTAAAAGTTTGTAAATTTGTTACTTAATTTTGCAAATGACACTGACCGCACGATACAGGATTTCTTTAAATAAGAAAAACCAATTTCTCATAATATTTCGTTATTAGATAAATATACAGTGGTGGTCACATAATTAAAGACACCCCTAATTGACCACAAACAACTTATATAATTTTAGCTAATGTTAATAACATTAGCTAAAATTGGTATTTAATCCAGTTTAATTGTTATTAAACTATACACGACGTTGTATTCTTACAATGTGGGACAAAAACTAGTTGTGTTCGTTAGTAGTTTAGACACTGCTCACTATGGGAACGTAACACAAACTTTTTTAACGTAATAATAGCTGGCCAGCTAATTAAAGACACTCGATTTACTTAGAAGAAATAGAAAAAAATATTGTTATATTTGAAATTATCTTTATTACACAATATTCCTAACACATTTATAAAACTTTCCGGTACGTATCAATATTTGGTCGTTGCCTTTGGATGAAACGACAGCACGACAATTCCAAGCTTCTCTAAAAGCTGCGTAAAGTTGTTCGATGTTTGATGTCCATTTTGTCGCCATTGACTTCTTCACCTGGTACCACAAATTTTCCATTGGGTTTAAATCAGGACTGTACGGGGGCCAATCCAAAACTGTCACGGACTGGTTTCTTAAAAAGTCTTTTATTACTTTTGCAGTGTGTTTCGGATCATTATCCTGTTGGAAAGTCCAAATAACTGGTAAATTTTGCTCGGCATAGGGCAGCATGGCTTGTTCTAAAATATTCTTGTACTGAAAGGAGAATGCTCATGGATGTATGGACCACCGTACAATGGTGGCATCAATAACGGTCATTTAAAAAAATGTTAAATGACCGTTTATTATTCAAATTAGTATGACTAATTGGTATTTTGAAAATAAAAACAGGGGTTTTAAAGTTATTGTAAAAACTGTGACATAACCTCAAAACCTTAATAAGCCTATTTAAAGTTAGGTTTACAGCTATTTTGGGTAATTTTTTAATCTGTTGCGTTATTTTTGATCAACTTGTGTCTTTCACACAGTTTTTCCAACCTACTGCATAGATTTTCACGACAACACAGATTTCAGTGATGGCAGATTTACAATATGTAGGTATAGGTAAAAAAAACATCAATATAGGTATTTCAAATCACACATAATCTTCCTGGAAAAATCATCTAAATAAGGCGCCGGAGCAGTAACGCCATTGTAGCGACCCCAACTTAAAAACCAAACTACAGTCATTATATGGGCACAACAGCCCACGGGTTGTTTACCAACAGGACAACTGCAATAATAACCTTTTATAGCCTCTAATGTGTCTGCGAAGGCAGCATCTCTACTGATAAGTAAATATGTGTAATACGTACTACTGCTTACCTGTCTGGATCTAAACCTACCTCTTAAGTAATAATTATTTAGACCTAAAACAAGGGAAATATCATCTACAAAAAACAAATTCAGACAATTTCTAGCTTTTGTCATGCAACGTTCTAATGTAGCTAGCTCTAGGTTTATTGAAAAGAGTGGCCATCGTTGCTATCAGCAGTTATTAATTTAACTAAATAAATGAAAAAACTAAGCAGCGTTTGGCACTTGATCTACTAGATTTGGTATACAGTTGAGGAAATTATAAAACTGTTCAGACTTCATACCAAGCCTATAATGACATAAATGAGTAGACATAATTGAAACACTAGAAAAATCTATTTGTAATTGGCTGCTCGCTGCATCATAATCATTAATTATCAAACTGTGTGCCAGTAAAATCTCTCAATTGAGATGTTAATTCATTATTCCGCTCAAGTGGACGTGAGAACTTTATTGTAGTGTTGACTACCTCACAGAAGCTTATCGAAAAAGCTAACTCGTTACGTTTCGTGCCAAACACTCCAAGAAACATTAGTGCGCCACACCAACATTCTAATGTAAAAAAAGAAGATTAATATAACTAAAAACTAGGCTGTATGGGCATTGTTCTCTTTGCCTTCCCTAAAAAGGGAGAATCTTAAAAAAGTAAAAATAAATAAACGTCATATATCCGGCTCAAAATATAAACAGTACCAAGACTAATTATTCTTCTACAATTATTCCCTGTTCAAAATAGCCATTCTGATAGACCAACGTACATATAAATTAAAGAAAATAATTATCATATTATTTTTATCTTGATGCGTGAGACAAAGCTGTACCAAACATGGGTATTCTCGTTTTTCCATGTTACCTTCTAATTTCCTGACAGGTCCAACACCAAGTCCTGAGAAACAGCCCCAAACTTTGATATTTCCGCCCCCATGTTTAACTACTTTCTTGGTATACTTTGGATCCATTTCTTTGTTCGGGGGGCGTCTAACATATTTTCAGTTTCATCGGAGAAAAGCACATGTTTCCATTCTCGTTCAGTCCAGTGTACATATTTTTTAGCAAATGCTAATCTTGCTTTTTCAAAAGTGGCACCTTCCGCGACACTCTTCCGTACAAGTTTGGCTCACATAGTCTCCGTCTTATTGTTCTTGCTGACACACCCTTCAACCCTCCTGCACCAAACCACTCCGAACGTATCAGTTCTGAACGGATCTTTTTTTGCCAACAACACCATCTTAGAGTCTTCCCGCAGTGTAGTTTCTCTTGGTCTCGGTTTTCTTGATTCGTTTTCACTCGTGTTGAACTTCTTGAAATGTTTTATAGCATCCTTATAACAGTTCAAGTGGTATGCTATATCTCTGTAATGACCAATCTTTAATATGAAAGTTGAAAATAATCTTCCTAGTGGACGAATCGCAACTCTTGTTTTTTACCATATTGCTGGGTTTAAAACGCATTAATGTTAAATAAAAAATTAGGTTTTATATGTTATATCGACGTTTCATGAAAATACGCGAAAAAACAAAGATATACAGAATGCAGTTTTTTCTTTATTTTTTTTAAATTCAGAACATAGCTTTTACTGTCTTTAATTCTAAGCAAATCGAGTGTCTTTAATTAGCTGGCCAGCTACAAGTACGTTATAAAAGTTTGTGTTATGTTCCCATAGTGAGCAGTGTCTAAAGTATTAACAAACACAACTATTTTTTGTACCACATTGTAAGAATACAACGTCGTGTATAGTTTAATAACAATTACACTAGATTAAATACCAATTTTAGCTAATTTTAGTACAATAAGTAAGTTTTTTGTGGTCAATTAGGGAGTGTCTTTAATTATATGACCACCACTGTATTTACTTGGTCTTATGCTATATTTTTAGAGCAAAAATTCTGATCATCTTCTCTCGATTTTCTCAGGCTCATTTTTTCTTAATAATTAAGAGAAATATTATTTATTCAAGACTTACTTTAGAAAAATATCAATTAAATGGGTTAAAATCAAGAAAATAATATTTACTTGATGACCTGTACGTATTTTTGTCTTATACTTAATTTGTTGACTCAGCAACGAAATTAAATACCCTAGATACACCACATGCGCTCAAAATGTGTCACAATCCAGAAGTGCTTGAACTTCACTCAATCACTTCTTGGTTCAAAGTAACGTTCAACAGTCCGTTGAAAATCAACATGCCGCAGTGCTCCGTGGAAAAATGCAAAAAATAAATACTTATAGTACGTTAAGTGTCGTTTTTTCGACATGTTTGTTAATTTAACATATTTAGCTAGATCGAAGAAGTTACATATTTCAACCCGCAGTGTTAAACTATTCACATCTAGAGCACCACAGCAGTACCCAGACATATAACAGGTTCTTGTGATGGGTCAGCAATTGTTGACAATGCATTCATGATGTTATTATTTTAAATCCTGCTAAACGTAAATGTAATGCCTATAAAAAACCAGTTCATGTATGTAGGGTCCATTTCAATAGCACCACTGTGGACCCAGTGCTTTTTCCTTTGGCTGCCAGACATTTGGAGCCGAGCCTTTCCACAACTAAGACAGGACCTCCAGAAGGTTCCTTTATATTAGACCACCTGCACAGGTGAAAAAGATTGTGCCTCCCAGGCTTGGCCGCGTGGGTGATGACCAAGTAGCTATTTACAAAGGTGAATTAAATTTATAAAATAGCAACTGATGCTCTTTCATCTTGTCAACCTATAAATCTCATCAACAAATGGATATCAGGGTGTTACGCTATGATGTAACACTAATGCTGTTTTATAGTGATATATTTCTAAGCAAAATGTTCATTTTTGACAATACAAGTCTGCTGTCCTTACTTGTGATATTTTTTTGATGAATAGTATAGCAAACACTTTTATTTACAAAGCCAAAATCTACATTGCAGGCTTGACCTTAATAAAAAAATAAACAAAAATATGTCTCTGATATGGGGTACACAATAATTACGTAAGTTACACATATACGTTTACAAACAGATTCACCAGGATCCAATTATTTCCTTGATATTGCCAAAACGATTTAGATACAGAAATAATTTAAGCTAGGGTTCTAAATAACAAAATAATAATTTGGCCTAGATTTAGACAGTAAGTTGACACATGGTCACGTCCTCAGTTAAATGGTTATTATTGCATCATCCAGATGCAAATATTCTTCCAGGTACTAACACATTTTTTATGTCTTAGAATTTTGATGTAGCTTTTTTATATTGTTTTTTTTTTATGTTTTTCAAATTTTTAAGGTACCTGCTTAATGCAGTACAGCCTATTGATTCTGCCTATTCCATTTTCAACAAATTGTGCCAATTTAAAATACCATTTACCACATGTAACTTTTTAAAAGTTCAATAAATTTACGTTCAGAAAAGTTTACGACATTTTATTAAGATCATTGGGTTTCTAGAGGTTTAAATTATGATCAATTTTCTAACCATTGTATACAATAAAGGGGTCCATTTCGATAGCACCATTGTGGGCCCAGTGCTTTTTCGTTTGGCTGCCAGACATTTGGAGCCAAGCCTTGCAACAAGTAAGAC